AGTGCATAACAAACTTTGGAAACTGTTTGTTCCAGTCATATATGGCGCACCTACAATGGAATCATTCGGCAAATAGCGACATCTTCAGCTTCACACAATCGAGAGTATCATGAGCACTATTGAACCAGTTAGCGCAGGATTTAGTGCTGCACTCAACCCCTAATGCAGCACAACATATATTTTCATTGAAATTCACATTATTTTGTACACAATCAGTTTTTATCTTACTAAACTTTCTTCTCCTGACAATCTAGGGGTGACATTAAATCGTGTGCAGTACCAGTCTTTAGAAATCTGAGACAATGCAGTCAGTCGCATCCTTGTGACAACGAATTGTTTGTCTTCCTTTGGGAACGTTCTTCTGACGCGGTTCAACCTGACAATAACTCTAGCTTTCAAAGTATAGAAGCGTTTAACCTAATTTGAAGGAAATTTTCTGGGCGTTGACAGTTCGTGTGTGAGCAAACCTAAGGCATTATGACTTTCTCACCTGTCAGTGCATCATCAGTTGCAATTATATCCTTTCCCTACTAACCCAAACTAATGGAGATTGACGTTACGGCGATATACTGGAATCTTACTCCACAGGAAAAACGGGACCTCAATGGACATTAATCTTCACATGACATTATTAGCAATGACGACGAAATTCATAGTGTTTGCAAATGTGTTGGTTTGTCTGCTAAAACATCTTCCAGGCTTGACATGAGTTGGTGATCAATAGACAATACGGTAATGATGACGAAACGGTGCAATAAACGAAGCCTACACAAATATCTAAAAATCCATTATGTTATCAATAAACGACTATTAAACAAGTGAACAAAATTAATCATTAGATAATTTTGGACAGGTATTTCAGGCAGAGTGCAATAATGCGCCAATGCTTCTATTCTGGTGTACCTGCCGATTTACAGTATGTTTTGTCAATATAGCTCATTTAACTATGCTATATTGGAGACCACTTTGTCAAAATGTCGCAGATTTAGATTATATCAAAAGAATGACGTCGGCAGAAGCATGCGAAAGAATCCAAGAGGCATTAGATGGTGTAAGAACACAGGCCTATACTCACCAGTAAAAATATTTTGGGTCCTTTGCGTTATCAGTGATGCCTACTCAATATTTATTCTACGTTAATTCTCAGGTTTGTGTTTTTTACATGTCTTGGGTTTTAGCCTTGCAATCGCGTAAAAATAATCGCTTAGTCTGTTAACAGCACAGGCCTCTGGTGTAAATGACTCACGTTCACAGTTTATTTGGTGTTGTTTGCTGTTAGCATTCTTATCTACTCAATCCCACACAAAAAACCCGAAAAATTGGACATTTCAAACTCAGCAGATCCTGTTTTCTTCATCTTGTTAAGTTACACATATACTGTCTGAGTCAGTACAGGCTATCTAGACAAGGTGTGTTCTTGTTTGGGAGGGCGAATATTCCGGTTATTCAAAAGAAAACTGCAAAATGCACTGACGATAACGCAGACCCAAGCAGCAATCAACAATAAAATTATTTATACATGGTAAGCTGTACATTGTGAATGGACTGCTACGTATTTGTCCTACACTTTTCCAGCAAATTTCCATATTTTGGAGAAAGCAACAAAGTGGGGCACATACACCTTCTCACAATGTGACAGTTAAAGTTAAAGCATGGTGATAAAGTGATCGGATTTGCGTAGATTCGCAGACCGCCAAAATGAGTAGATCGAAATGACTTTGTTGGTTAAGTTGGAGTGTAAGTCGCCATGAAGTACTATTTGCAACATCACCTTTACTGCGTGGAGTTTTCGGACACAATCACAGTTGTAATGCCAAAGCATTGAATAGTGGGGAACCCAGGTAGTCCAGGGGACACAGAAGGACGGTGCTATCGTGTGGACTTAACTTGTAATTAATCAATGAACTTCCTTTGCTCTACCGGCCTTCTTCAAACTGGGATTTGGGTGTTACACAGTAAATGCATATATTCAGCATTTTATGTATTTATGAACTTGCCACTACCTTAGACTCAAGTGTCAGCATAATGAGAACTGCTGACATTAACCCAAGTTGCCCTGTAGTTAGTCGAAGCATCTACATCGGATTAAAACGTGATTCAAAACGAATTTGGGTGTGCGGCAAATGCATCAACAGCCGTGGATAAGCTTCATTAATTTTCAGTGTTTGCTCCAATGAATATACTTGACTATCTACAACAATTTGATACTACGGAGACTATTCGCATTCTAATCGCTACAATCATTGTCGTTCATTGTCATGTTTTCTGCTTAAAATCGACTTATAACTCGTTGACCTGATTACAACACAATATAAAATCCGTGGTCGCGTATTCTTTGTCTCTAATACAGTTAGAAATTTAAGATACGTTTATAATACCATGCAAAGTCTAATGCAGGTATTTAGAAAAAATATGATATTGGCCTTGATTCTGTGATTGTTTCCGGAACGAGCCTACAGGATCATCGGTCAATGGATGCCAAAATTCCGCCAGCAAATGTTCTTTGTCATCTCATTTCCTGTAGCTGTTTTGTTTTCAACTTGTACTTTTTGCCTTGGACTTATTCTTAACACCTAAATTGTCACACCTTCGTTTTTTCTCATTTCTTCACATAACTCAAAATGTGACCAACGTGCCAGTAGGTTTGGTCAAGGTCACACAAGCTGTTTGTTATTTACTGTCCTCTGGATTTAGCTGAGGCTGTTAAGACTGCCAGCACATGGTCCATTCTTGTTTGGATAGAAACTTTCTCTTACGTGCTCTGGCAAAATTGACTGGGTTGAAAAGTTCACTAATGGGTTAATCAAAAATGGTCTGTTTTCTTGCGCTTAGTGTCATGGAACAGTAAATCGGTGAGAGGAAATTAATAACATGAAGCTCCACATCGATTTAGGAGGTGTGGGGGACATGTGGGGTGGTGAGAAGACCTCGATGCACCTTTGGCGGGAAAAATGCGTCAGCGAGTATGAAATAAAGGAAAACAGCAACCACTCGTAGAACAGATTCTTCGGTATTAATGTTCAACGGCATATGCAAAATTGTGGACCAGGCATCCTTGACCCCATGGCACCTGACGGGAAGCAGTCTGATTTTAAGATTTTTTCAGACATAACATTTGTTTTAAGTAGAAAGTCAAGTCACATCTGATAGAGTCCAAGAGCGTCGCAATATGGAAACTGAGACAGTGTCTTGTGATTTTAGCACGGCTGACCTAAGAATGCATTTGGACACTTCCTCTAACATCACAAACTGTTTACTAATCTTAAATTAAAATAAATATAGAATTTGTGATGACAATAAGGAGAAAAAACGCCCAAATTACGAGCCTACCAAAGGCTACTCAATGTGCATAGTATAAACCAAAATTGCATAATGTAGAAACGTTATGTGTAACTTAACGCTTTCTTACTAAAATGTTAGTCGTTTTCTGGCACTCGCTGCCAACTCTCAACGCAAACCGTCTCTAACAACTCGAGAAAAAGTAACATTACAAAGAAATTTGTGATAAGTCATGTGACGTGTGTTTGTGTGTGATAATCGGCTTTCGAAAGCAGCCAACATAACAAAAATTGATGGATAAGTTATCGACTCAACCTAGGGCCGTAATTTTTGCCCCTGGCGTCCCTGGTAACTGACAATGCATGTTGACGTACACGAGAGAACTTTGATGGCTCCAACAATCGACAAGTAACCCGTGCGCCTATTTCTTTTCACCTTTGAATGTATGCTACTTTTTTGAACTCTTCATGTTTTTGTAATATTTTTAGAGTGCATTTCTTTGGATTCTGTATATTGGGCTACTTTTACCAATTGTTTACACCTAAAGTCCTGAATTCGTTTTGCACAGCGAGTGTTATGGCCAAGTATCTGTCGATTGTACTCAATGTGCAGAACAAGCATAATTTACAAGGTTACTGGGGAGAGAGTGAATTACGAAACACCATGAGGTAATGGAGGTTGGCCAGACAGATTGTTCGTCGAACGCAGTTAGAAAATGTTCCAGATCATAGTGTGAATAATTCGATTATCTAATCCGGAAAAGATAGTTTCATCCAACAGACTTCAAACCTTGTCAAATTTCTCATCACATTTCCACCTCTCAATAGATCTCATTGACCATGACGGGAAGAAGGCAGCAGGCTCATTCTTAACACAAAGCAAAGTACCATAAATCGCAGGTGCATAGCGCATGCCACCTGCCTGCTTCCTTCAAGCGTTTATCACTGATGCTGTCAATTCGCTTCGATCTCATTGAAATGGATGCTGAAACGCTGTGGACGAAACGATATAAAATGCCTAGCAAAATCAAGTAGCATATTTTTGATTTTACACACCACTTGAGTTGGTTAGATATTATATATTTTTTGCGTTTCCACCGTGCATGAGAATGTAGCGCCAGATTCGTGACCTTTCGGTGTCCAAGTGCAATCGTCCCCTAGATTGGTGGGTCGTGCCTTGGTCAGATCCAAATGGAGAAAATTGTGCAGACTTTCGACGGACATTGTTCCTTCGCTACGGCACATTAGTAGGACTCGCTTCGATGTGTCAACGCAACTTTCCAACTGTCTGTTTGACTGTGTGTGGTAGTTTAGGGAATACACGTGTGTAATAGCATGCCGTCAAAAGAATTCCTTTTATATTTGCCATGCGAACTGTGACTCGTGGTCTAAGGATATAGTTTTTGAGAATCCATGACAGCTGAAAGTCTGGGACAGAGCCTGTTATGAGATGATCATTGGCCACTTTGAGTAGGCGTTCACTCGCACAAGATATTAGCCTCCGTTGATCGGTCCGACAAAATCGATGTGAATGCGCAACAAGGGTGTTTTTGGTTGTGACCAAGGGACTGAGGAAACCTTGGGAAGGCCAGTGTGCTAGGATGCCGTAATTGGTTCATATTGCAATAGAGAATGGACAAATACTACTGCAAAATAACTGCTTTAAATTATGCTGATTTATTTGGGTAAAAGTGCGGGGAGAAGCCCCAATCAGAGGATGTGATGGTGAGAGAAATGGCGAGCCAGGTTTTGGAGAGTTGGCATCAGGTTCCAGACGGTCGAGAGGCGACGATCAAGAAGGTGTCTCAAAGTGGGCCAGTGAGTCAGGAATACATAGCACTTTTCTAAACCTCCATTTTCCTCAGTGCGATTTTCTCCGTGACCCTCATGGCCATTGGCATGTTGAATGAAATTTGTCAGTTTCGAGAGCGGTAATAGAGGCTTCATAGATGAGTCAAACAAATATTTGTCAAAATCAATATGATCTCGTGACGAGCCTACAATACTCACACATTAATAGACACACGACAGCCTTTCGTGAATGCTGATTTGCAGTTGCGTTGTTGCAATTTGCGTCAATGTGCCTATTTTTGTCATCCTCACGAATACTGTTTTCATGTCGCTAAGGTATTTATTACCTTAGCAGGTATTGTCGATGCAATTGCCTAAGTTAATAAAAATTGCCTAAATGAACAGCCTTGACCTGAAATAATCTGGCGTAAGTCGATGAAATATAGCTTGATCTATCAATAACGCCGTCGTTTCTTTAGCAGTAGACCAACAGTAATTATTTTGCAGTCTCGTGCTTTGTTGCCGTAATGGACGATACACGCTAAAGGCCATACAGTATGGCTCATCTTCGATGCACTTGACGGTCTCCCAATGGCATATCCTGTTTCCGACTATAGGCGAATTAAATCCGCAGCTATTTGTCTGACATTTGAATTTCAGATCAGCCCTTGCATTTGTGCTTAAAAGTGTTCTAGCACACTCTAAAATATTAAACCTACTTTTCATAAAGTTATACGCTGTTAGTCTTCGTTTAGTGCTACGTCAAAACGTGGTAGTGAACGTGAATCACCCGCGTGTTTCTCTGTAGTCGAAATGGTGGTTATCGAAGTTTGGTTTAGTTGCATGAACGGAAAGTTATTACTTATGAGTAATGAAGAATTAGCACCGTATCAGCCAATCCTATGCTCCTGACACAAAAGCCAATCATTGGCCCAGCTCTCGGATATTTATACGGATCAACATTTGCTCTGTTCAGTTGAGTTATTTGAGGCACAAGGTCATTTGCAAATTTTCAACACCATTGTTCTGATCGTGGTAAGTAAAATAGTTCGAACTTTTCACGTTATTAACAGTTGCGATTGCTAAGTATGCATTTCGGTTTCACATTTGTCGATTATTGCTCTAATCTGGCCTAGTAATGTACTTCACGTAGGGTGGGAAGGACGCGGTAACAATCTGATAATGCAACGTAGGCGACGATTCCCAAACATTTAAATGCGCACTAAGGAATGCTTCTGCACCTGCATTTTGACGTAATAACAGACCAAATTTCGATATCCTGCTCAATGCATTTATTTAATGGCATATTTGCAGTTATCCTAGAATTCCACTTAAGCTAAATACCGACTACACAATTTCAGTAGTTTCTAAAAAATGCTACCAAAATGTTCAGCAATATTTAAATAACAAAGATGATTTTAAAGCTGAAAGAAAGAAAAGTTTGCAACTTTGTTGTTGACTCTGCAGTATTAAATTTAGCAGGCCCTATTACATGGCATCAACACTAGGAATGTGCGTGCTTGAGTAATGTGAACATAACCCAATTTCCTTGATAACAAGGCCATTAACAAAGGTTTTAATGGAGATTGGCATATCTAACCATACCTTTGTACATCTTACATGTGCATCTGTTTTTCCTCTTACAGATGGTCTTTATCAGTCAACACAGGAACGTCTCCCATTACGAAATATTCCAGCTCTTGACTCCGTCATCTCGTATTGTTCTGCCGACTAATTTCATCGCCCTGGACACAGAATTAATAGCCGTGAAAACTAGCGAGTACCATTTGACCACTACCATCAACCAGAACGCACCCGCAAGGAGATTCGAAAGGCCCGCCAGTAGTATCCGGTCTCCCGCATTTCCGTAATAAAATGCTGCAGAGATGGTGCGCAGAGTGATGTGAAATATGTATTTACTCAATAAGAACAATTCATTGACTCCTTGCATTTTGAGCCTAAATTGTGGTCTAGTAACTGGCTCTGGAATAGGTGTTATTAATCTGCTGCTAAGTAGTAATGAGTTACTTGTGAGATGATCTGTGTTATGCAAAATGAAAAAGTGGCAAGAAGGACAAAGGTGTATTAGAGTTAATGCATTCAGTAAAGGCTGTATGAAGCCACCTGGCAGACTTCAGAGTTTCATGGCGGTAAAACACATGGCAAACACTCATTGTAGGAAATTTAAAAGGTATTTTAAGGCAGATTGTCTGGTAGATGGACGTTTTAACATCATCTTACTATTCGAAAAAGTATGCGGATTATTGAAGTGTCTATAAATTGCTAGAGAAATGAGGCGATTATACATTGTCCACACGGTGATCTCATATTAACCACTATCGAGTCATCTATGCGCAGAATGAATCACTAAATGTGACCCTGAATCAACCTTGTCATTTTCTATTTCCCGTAATCAACATTGTCGACGCGGTGTGTGCCCAACACTCTGCAATTGTAAACTGCTCCATGTAATTTGACTGTCAGGTGTCTAACATCCTGCCACACTGACGAAGAGATTCTGGCAACAATCGTTTTGTAATTGCACTGTTCTGTCAGTGGATGTGCTAGCATATGAATTCACCATACTGAGTAGTGCAGTGCGATATGCCTATATTTCTCGAATCGTCAAATGCAACGTGGTCAGGAAGTGTGCACACGAATGATTAGTTGAAATGCATCGGGCAATCTTCTGGTTGACCAGCGGTGTACACAAAAATTGGGGTCACTTCAGCCACGAAATACAGAGGCTCGCGCGTTCCTACAGGATCCTTATTATTTATTGAGACCAAACGATTGAGATTCTCTAAAGGATTCTAACTGACGCTCAGCCCCTAGCACACGCAGTTGCCACGAAACGAACCCACAATAGAACTGGCAACGCAAACTAGCCCCACAGCGCCCAGATATAAGCTTAAGTCAAGCACTTCAACTCTTATGACAAAGTCAAATAACAACTGTTTAAAAAACTAATGTTGTGAGAAAAATTGTCATTTTGATTTATTATGTAAGTTCGTAGTACTGTTGTAAGCTTCCTAACAAATCTATTCCCCTCATTGATGCACATTGCCATCATATAACAAGTAACAAGTGCTATAAAAGAAAAACGGCTCCACTGAACGTGCTGTGAATCGTTTTGATTCACACTTGTCAATGCAGTGGTTTCACTGTCAGACACAAAGTCCCTCTGTCCACATACATTGATCCTGACACATTTGTGCGTACGATTACGCTGCATTTTTACCTTGATTTTTTTACACATATTTATGACTTTTTTTGGTTCAGATTTGTATGCCACAAGCTCACACTCGCTTACATCACATCCACATGGTTGACACAAAGACACCAACTCGGTTGAGCTCTGAGGAAGACGCCTGTGTGCTCGTCGACTTTGGTATTATCCATCGTCGTCGTTGGCAGAAGGGTGGCGTAATTGGACCAGATGCAATATATTGGCCCAGGCTTGTTGGGGATTCACGATTCCCCAAGATTGGTTTCTGATTTTATTTACATTAATTTATTAGCATTTGTTTTGTTACTATTTTATCAAGTCAAGGTCAAACTTGACTTGAATTTGTTTTCGAATTACTTTCGATTTCACTTCTTCTCTGCACGTGGCTGGCGTGAATAAAGCTCTCTACTCGAGCTCTGGTCTTGTTCTGGCATTAGCCTGGGAAGGTCGGTTCTAGCTTTCAGCAAGCGATCTGGTGCCGTTATTTGAGTGGTCTTCTCCATTGTTACGGG